TAGCTCATTGTGGTTTTGATTTGCATTTCCCTGTTGATTAGTGATATTGAGCACCCTTTCTTGTATATGTTGGACATCTGTATGTCTTCTTTGGAAAAATGTCTATGCAAATCCTCTGCACATTTTTTAATCAGGTTGGTTGGGGTTTTTTGCTATTGAATTGTATGAGTTCTTTATATATTTTGGATATTAGCCCCTTATCAGATATATGATTTGCAAATATTTTCTCCTATTCAGTAGGCTGCCTTTTCATTTTGTTGATGTTTTCCTTTACTATACAGAAGATTTTTAGTTTGATGTAGTTCCACTGATTTATTTTTACTTTTTGTTGCTTTTGCTTTTGGTGTCAAATCCAAAAAATCATTGCCAAGACCAATGTTATGGAGCTTACTGCCTATATTTTCTTCCAGGAGTTTTATGGTTTCTGGTCATACATTCAGGCATTTAATCCATTTTTGAGTTAATTTTTGTGTATAGTGTAAAGTAAAGGGTCCAGTTTCGTTCTTTTGCATGTGGCTGTTTAGTTTTCCCAGTACCATTTATTGAAAAGACTGTCCATTTCCCATTGTATAGTTTTGGTTCCTTTGTTGTATATTAATTGACCATATATTAGTGGGTTTATTTCTGGGTTTACTATTCTGTTCCGTTTATCTATACATCTGTTTTTAGGCCAATACCATACTGTTTTGATTACTATAGCTTTGTAATATAGTTTGAAATCAGGGAGTGTGTTACCTCCATCTTTGTTGTCCTTTCTCAAGATTGCTTTGGCTATTTGGGGTCTTTTGTGATTCCATACAAATTTTAGGAATTTTAGGAATTTTTTTGTTCAATTTCTGTGAAAAATGCCATTGGAATTTTGATAGTGATTGCATTGAATCTGTAGATTGCTTTGGGTAATATGGACATTTTAATGATATTAATTCTTGTGATCCATGAGCACAGAATATCTTTCCATTTATTTGTGTCATCTTCATTTTCTTTAATTAATGTCTTAAAACATACAGGTCTTTCCCTCCTTGATTAAATTTATCCCTAGGTTTTTTAATTCTTTGTTGCAATTGAAATTGGGATTGTTTTATTAGTTTCTTTTTCTGATCGTTTATTTGTGTATAGAAACACAACAAATTTTTGAATATTGATTTTGTGTCCTGCAACTTTACTCAATTCACTTATTAGTTCTAACAGTTTTTGGTAGAGACTTCAGCGTTTTCTTTATGTCACCTGCAGAGAGTGACAGTTTTACTTCTTCCTTTCCAATTTGAATACCTTTTTCTTTTTTTTGCTAAATTGCTCTGGCTAGGAGTTCTAGTACTATATTGAATAAAAGAGGTAAGAGTGGCCATCCTTGTCTTGTTCCTACTCTTAGAAGTAAAGCTTTCAGCTTTTCACCATTGAGTATGATGTTAGCTGTGGGCTTGTCATATATGGCCTTTATTAGGTTGAGGTATATTCCCTTTATATCTACTTTGTTGAGAGTATTAATCATAAACTGATGTTGAATTTTGTCCAGTGCTTTTTCTGTATTTATTGAGATATCATACGATTTTTGTTCTTCATTTTGTGATGTGGTATATCACATTGATTGATTTGTGGATATTGAATCATCCTTACATCCCTGGAATAAATCCCACTTGATCATGCTGTATGATCCTTTTAATGTATTGTTGAATTTGGTTTGCTAATGTTTTGTTGTGATTTTTGCATCTATGTTCATCAGGAATATTGGCCTGTAATTTTCTTTTCTCATGGCATCTTTTTTTGGTTTTTGCATCAGGGTGATGCTGGCCTCATAAATTGAATTTGGGAGTGTTTCTTGGAAGAGTTTGAGGACTGGTATTGATTTTCCTTTGAATGGTTGGTAGAATTCACCAGTGAAGCCATATGGTCCTGGACTTCTGTTTGTCGGGAGGTTTTTGATTCTGATTCAATTTCATATTTTCTATTTCTTCATGATTCAGTCTTGGTAGGTTGTATATTTCTAGGAATTTATCAGTTTGTTAGAGGTTGTCAAATTTGTTGCATATAACTGTTCATAATATAATCTTATCCTTTGTATCTCTGTGGTATCAATTGTAATGTCTCCCCTTTGACTTCTGATTTTATTTATTTGAGTCCTCTTTTTTCCAAGCTTCTTAAATTTATTGAAACTTGTTTTATAGCCAACATATAGTCTGTCTTGGTTACTGTACCATATCTCTGTGAGTATAATTTGTATTTTGCAGTTGTTGATGTAACTTTTATAATTGTCAGTTAAATCAAGGTGGTCCATAGTATTGTTAAGATCTGTGTCTTTTCTGATTTTTTTTTTTTTGTCTAGTTATATCAGTTGCTGAGGGAAAGGTTTTTACATTACCTAATACTTTTGTGGAATTGTGTGTTGCCCCCTTTATTTCTGTCAATTTTTGCTTCATGCATTTTGAAACTCTGTCCTTAGGCACAACACATTGATAATTGTTATCTCTTTATCTAATGTTAAGAGCCACTCTAGCCTTTTTCTTAGTCTTTGTGTGGTATATCTTTTTATATCCATTTACTTTCAACCTATCTGTGTCTTTATGTTTAATGTGTATCTCTTGCAGGCAGCATGTAACAGTGTCTTTTTTTATTTGTTGTGTCAATTTATGGCCTTTAATTGCAGTGTTTATCTTAGGAGTGAGTATACTATGGCCCTCAGGCCAAATGCCCAATTTGGAAATTAAATTTTATTGGAATACAGCCACGTGCTTTATTTAGTTATTATCTGTATTTGCTTTTCTGCTACAAGACAGAGTTGAGTAGTTGTGACAGAGATTATATGTCCCAAACTCCTCAAGTATTTACTTTCTGGTCACTTACAGAAAAATTTTGCTGACCCTGGTTTAGACCATTGAGATTTAATGTGATATGTTTGAATTTAGGCATATAATTTTATTATTTGTTTTCTGTTTGTCCTCATTTTTGTTTGTTTTTGTTTTCCCCTGTTCTTTGGATTTTGTTAAGCTTAATTTTTGGCATTTAATTATATCGTATTTTTAGCTGTATTTCTTTGTATTTTTAAGTGGTTGATCTAGGGATTATAATATCTAACTTTCTCAGTGTACTTGTTAATATTGTACTTCATGCAAAACAGTGATGGCAAAACTTTGCAACCATATGTAGTTTCCTTTCCTTTATCCCCCTGCATTGATCTTTTTGCTATAGCTGTATGCATTATATCTCCATACCTTGGAAATCTCACCAGACAGTGTCAGAAGTTTTGCTTTTCAACAATCATACATATTTTCATAAAACTTAGATAAGGGGGGAAAAAGGAGTCTGTTATATTTATTCAGCTATTTGCCATTTCTCTTTTGTTCTCCTTTAAATCTTAAGATGAAAGACTCTGTCTGGTATCATTTCCCTTCAACCTTTAGTGTTTCTTATAGATCAGGTCGGCTGGTGACAAATTCTTTTAGTTTTCTTTCATCTGAAAATGTTTTTTACTTCATATGCATTCCTGAAGAATTTTTTTCACTGGCTATGTATAAGGGAAAAACTACACTCCTGTGTTTTTCCTCTACTCTCAATACTCTATTATACTCACAACACTTCTGGCACTAGATGTGAGGTTTTTCCACATATCAAGCAATTCATTGCGAAACCAGCTTGGTGTCCTATGATTCAAGTTAATTCTGATATTAACTGGAATTAATGTAGATGCCACAGGGTAATGGCCTGGTCACATAAGACTACCCTCCACTTCCAATGACAGTTACAAGTAAAGGTTCCCAAGACCCCCTTCTTGGATTCTGTCATTTTCTAGGACAGCTTACAGAACTTAGGGAAACCACTTTCTTACATTTACCAGTTTATTACATAATTAAGGATGTGATAAAGAATATAGATGAATAGTCAAATGAAGATATACATAGGGCAGGGTTTTGTAGGGTCCCAAGTGCAGGAGCTTCTGTGGAGTTGAGTTACACCACTCTCTGGTACATGGGTGTATTCACCCACACAGAATCTCTCCAAACCCTTTACTTTTTTGATTTTTATGGAGGCTTCAACACGTAGGCACCATCGATCCTTAACTCAATTTCCAGCCCCTCTCCCCTTCTCAGAGGATGTAGGGGTGGGGCTGAAAGTTCCAAGCTTCTAATCATGCTTGGTCTTTCTGATGATCAGCCCCCATCCAGGAGCCCACCAAGAGTCACCTCATTAGAACAGAAGACCAAATCACCCAGAAAATTTTAAGAGATTTAGCAGTTCTGTGTCAGGAACTAGTGTCAAGGAAAAAATATTAGAACAAAAGATGCCCCTAGTGCCCTTATCACTTAGGAAATTACAAGGGAAAGGAGTTTTGTGCCAGGAACAGGGACAGAAACCCATATATATTTTTTCTATTATTTAACAATATGGAAACCTAGGTTGTCAGTCCTTTTCTGTTGGAAATTTAAAGATTATAGCTCCACTATTTCTGGCCCAGCAAATGGTCTAATATAGACCAAGATGGTGATAGTCTCTGATGAGAAATCTTCAAATATTTGAATCATTGTTCCCCTAGAAGATAGGGACCCTATTTTGGACCTTTTTCCCCATTATCTACAATAAATGTTTCTTGAATTTATTGGATTGTATTAAATTTTTAGTAAGTTAATATAAAGACTAGACAGGCTTATTAGGGTTCCATTTCCATAGGCTTATCAGGATCTGAATTGCCCAACAGGTGTTATACCTGTTATATTTTATAATAGAAGATTTCTTTACTAGATATGAATAAACCAGATAAAAGAAGTGATGCATTACCAAGTTTCTGAAATGTTTCCTTGGTTAATTGGCTTTGTTCCTATGTAAAAGGAAAATTGGAGGCAGTAGATGTTTGTCAGAGCTTTTTCCCCACTTCTCTTTTACATAAAAACTACTTACCATTTTATAAAATAATGGACAGTTAAGGGACATCCAGAAAGAAATGAGCCAAAAAGTGTTCTGGGAGAGTTCTGTGCTTTATAACATTACATCTGATGTTTTGATATCTACAGAGAGAATCAAATACAGCAGAGATTTCCTGTTGAAGCTCTCAAGTGTTTCCATCTGCAGAAAAAAACCAGACTTTCTGCCTGATCATCCCATTGTACTTCAAAAACCAGTAAGTAGTTTTCTAATTTTGTATTGTTTTAATCCTAAATATTTATCTTTTAAAGATTTTTGTGTTTTAATTCTAAAATATGTGTCTTTTAAACCTTTTTAATCTTTCTCATTGTGAAATATCATTCAGAAAAGTACATAAATCTAAATGTATAATATAACCAATTACTGTAAGTAATTACCACTTGGGTCAAAAATAGAATGGAATTGTCATATTTTAGGAAATATTTTTCATTTTGTTTTTCAATTAAGTTTTATAATTCACCTGAAATTGATTTTACTATATGGTGTGAGGTAGGGGTGAAGTTTTATTTTTTTCTGCATGGATATCCAGTCATCCTAGCAATATTTAGCAAAAGGATAGTCCTCTGCCACCTTTGTGGCAATATATTTACATGTGGTCTATTTCTGGGTGCTCTGTTCTGTTCAGTTACTCCTTTTATACAGTAAAACAACACAACTATTCTTCGACACATCTTTGCTGTTTCTTAGCCCTTTATAGAATTTCAAATTCTATCAAAGTAAATACACACAGTAAACACATACATGTATCTTTCAGGATATTGATTGGAAAGGACATGAGTTTCATGTCAGGCTTGGGTTCAAGTTGTAGCTCCACCTGTGTACTGGTATATTGTTCAAACTTAGGCAAGTCACTTAACGTTCTTGAGCCTCAGTTTTGCAATTGTGATAAGGGGATGATTTCTAATTGTTAGGATTAAATGAAATGTATGAAATTGCTTTTAGCATGGTACTTATCTCTCATTATGTACTCAGTAGGTGTTGATTTTCATCTTTTACGGTCTTCCATTTTGACTGGAATTTGAATTTCTTTTATTTATAGTTTTCATAAACACCATTTTATACAGGTAAAGGCGTATAAAAGGTATACAGGCATACCTCAGAGATGTTGCAAATTTGGTTCCAAACAAATATCGCAATAAAGGGAGTCACACAAATGTTTTGGTTTCCCAGTGCATATAAAAGTTATGTTTACACTATACTGCTCTTAGTTGTGCAATAGCATTATGTCTGAAAAAAAAAAACTATTTACATATCTTAATTAAAAAACAATTTAGTTATTTATTGCTAAAAAATGCTAACCAACATCTGAGCCTTCAGCAAGTTGTAATCTTTTCGCTATGTAACATTGAAGATAACTATTCACAGATCACTATAACAAATATAATGATAATAATGAAAATGTTTGAAATATTGGGAGAATTACCAAAATATAACACAGAGACTCAAAGTGAGCAGATGGTGTTGGAAAAATGGTACCCACAGGCTTGTTTGATGCAAGGTTGCCACAACCCTTCAATTTGTAAAAAACACAGTATCTACAAAGAGCAGTAAAGTGAGGAATGCCTGTAGTATTCTACTGAGATGAGTTCAGAATATAGGTATGCTAAGAATGGGTCAAATGTGAGATATAAAATACCTCCTGTGTTCTCCATTTGGGGGATTTCTTACCCTTTGGAATCCATAGCTTTTTTTCATAATTACAATTTTTTGTATTTTAGTTTATTCATAGTGTATCAATGGCTCTTAATTTAAACTCACTACCTTGCAGACATCCAGCCAATTCTTTTTAAAATTAAAGCATAAATTTAAAAGTTTTTTCATAATACCTTGCTCACAGGAATATTTAATGAGGTAAAGCATCCTTGATGATATTTGAATTTTTCTACCTGTTCAGAGACCTTAGGGGCATATAATCCTTGTCTATAAGAATAAATTTAAACTTCAGTGTGATATAAAATATAGTCACTTTCTCGTTTGAAGGCTTTCCACTTCTAACAACATTTTATTTTGTCAATAAAAGTTTGACATACGCATTATTTTGAGTTTACTTTTGTGTTATGCATTAATAATATTTTCTAAAAATTAGGTACCACAAAAACAGAACAACGGGTTTTGAATACAATCTAATATATTTAAATATAATATATATATTATATAAGTTTTACTAAACACAGAAGAACTGCTTTATTTGACAAATTCCAGTTACTTAATAGTTTCTATAGTAACATGCATTTAGATCTGCAAACACTTAATAGGTCACAACATTTGGTTTGATAAACTAATTAGTAAAAGCTACATTCATTCAATCTAATTGATAAGTTAACTTTTTCTTCTCTATTACAGGAAAACAACCAAAGCTTTAAGTAGCATTTTAAGAACGTATGTATTTGAAGATAAAGAATTACTAATTTTATATTTTGGACACCTGCAAATGAAGTGGATCTAGTAACAATAACTGTAATGGACTGTAACAATTCAACTTATTTTTAATTTTGATGGTTAGATATTTGGTTTCTTCTAAAATGAGAAAGAGATATTTTAAACAATAAAGAATTTTCTAATCAGTTTCAGCTTTGCAGGCAGTTTCTTGCATAAATTGGGAAGTAACACTGGAAAGTAGGAATTTGGTTAGTGAAATGGGAAGACTGTATTTATAATTTGCATGCTACCTGCAATTTTTGTTTTTCATCACTTGTAATAATGGAATGGAAATGTAAGCTGTAAGGATTCTCAAATATAAAGTATATGCTACGATGTATATATGGTACATAATTTTTTGTTGCTTTTAAAGTTGCTTTTGTTCTGTTTCCCACTGATTTCATACCAGCACTTGAAAGGATCATTACAGTCTCTCTAGAGGTTTAGAATGATTCAGGAAGTTCAATGAATAGTTCTCAGTGATAGGAGGGAGAATATTTTAAGAAGTATTTCTTTTCAAATATATGATTGTTCTCTAGGTTTGTGATAATAACAACATTGTCTAAGATTCTTTTATTTCCAAAAGAGGAATAATTGAGGCATTTGCAAATAATTGAGGTGCATTAAGTTTCAGTGCTGTAATTTCTTATAACAAGTGTATGGATGAAGAATTTGGAGGTTTAAACTTTTAGCTCCTAGAAATTCTATACAATAAATCTCCTGCAATTTGTCACTCTTGTTAAAAAGAAAAGTTTGTTCCAGCACAGTGTCACAAAGAATTGCTCATATAAAGGTAAGTGTAAACTCTCCCTAGTTCTATCCTCAGATTCTTTCAGATCCCTGGGTCTATTGGCAAGGCATTCAAGGACATCATTTGGCAGAAAGCTTATCTTAAACTGAATTCTGAACTCCTAAAACCAGTACCTTTTTCTTCACTGGTCTTTAGACTTGTTACCCAGATTCAAACTTTAGTCCATGGCAGATTTCCCAACTTGGTCTTTAGTATACTACTTTTAATTGCTTTGTTCACCAGAAAAAGATTGCATTTCAAGTAGGAAAAAAAAAAGAACCTTCACTAGCCATAAATTTATTGGTTACTTAAAAATGAGTTTACACCTACAGCCCAGTTTTTTACACTCATTTTTGCCCTACTATTTCCCTTTATATTATAGCTTCTAGTATTTATATGTGTATGAATACACACACATACACAAAAATACATGTAATTTATATAAGAGCTGGGGTCATCTCAATAGAAAAGTAATTTAAAAAGAGCTGGGGTCAGAATTAACCATATAATTAAATTGGTTTGCTTTATTATTTGCCTATTATCCAAGTCTGTTGACTTTAGTTAAAAAAAAATATGATCGGACCTATTCCAATTTGGAATCCAAAGAGCCCTTCCATTTAGCACTGTTACTGAGGGCAGACCCCTTTTAAAGTCATACTACCATTCTAACTTTGGAAAGTGCCTAGTATCCAAAAGACTTGATGTACTTTCTGAATCTGATACAGAAATGGACTGGACAGAACAATATATTGATTAGCTATAATTTCTATTTTTGAAATCATTTATAACCAGCGTTTTCAAGAAGAGTTTGTATATTAGAAGTCCCCGAGGTTTCAAAGTCTTTTGATCCTTTCTTACTGTATATAATCAGAGTGAGACTGCAAAGACTGTTTTATCTATTTGCCTTTGTACATATGTATAGTTTATTTGAATAATCATTGTACATCTCCATTCATGTTGTTCTTTGCTTTGTATATAAATTAAAAGAGTTGAGCCAGGTGTTGTTTCATAGTGTTTATCATCTTTAGAAATGACCAGACACACACACACACACACACACACACACACACACACACACACATACACATACACATATACACACACGTGTGTATGTCAATATTTACTACCTATTTCTAGTAGAAGCTATTAAAAATTCTTTAATTTTATTTAGACTGAATGAGGACTGAGAGTACACAAAGGTATTGGTAAAAGTTAGTTTGAGAAAATGTTAGGTTAACTTTTATATTTAAAAAATAAAATTTTAGGGGCTTCCCTGGTGGCGCAGTGGTTGAGAGTCCGCCTGCCGATGCAGGGGACACGGGTTCGTGCCCCGGTCCGGGAAGATCCCACATGCCGCGGAGCGGCTGGGCCCGTGAGCCATGGCCGCTGAGCCGGCGCGTCCGGAGCCTGTGCTCTGCAATGGGAGAGACCACAATAGTGAGAGGCCCACGTACTGCAAAAAAATAAAATAAAAAATAAAATAAAAAAATAAAATTTTAGTTCAACCTTCCTTTTTGTCTGAGTTTAAAAAAAAAAAAAGGAAAAATTCACCTTATGTTTGTTTCCTGGAAGACCTGTGGTTTCAGAGGAATTTGGCCTATTCTCTATATGCATTACATTTTTGTTAGTAGCATTTATCAGAATAAAAGAGATTTTATTAAAAATATTTAATTTATGAGCTTGTACAGCAGAATATATAAGGTACATAGTTTTAGTTTTTCTAGTGAAACTGGGATTGTAGTCATTCTAGTGTTGAAACTGAAAAATAGATGTTTTTTGTCCAGTACATATTTTATTATTTCCCTAAAGTTTATACTTGTTTTATAATTCTTTGTTCACTTAGGTTAAAATTTTGGTTTTAAAATATTTTGAAATCATTATTTAAATGCAAATGTCTATTTTTCATAAGTAAAGTTAGACCTCTGGATCATGTGCCAAAAATTTTTTTTTTTTTTTTTTTGCGGTACGCGGGCCTCTCACTGCTGTGGCCTCTCCCGTTACGGAGCATAGGCTCCGGACGCACACGCTCAGCGGCCATGCCTCATGGGCCCAGCCGCTCCGCGGCATGTGGGATCTTCCCGGACCGGGGCACGAACCCATGTCCCCTGCATCGGCAGGCGGACTCTCAACCACTGCGCCACCAGGGAAGCCCCATGTGCCAAAAATTTTGAACCACATTTTCTTAAAGTAAAACTCTTTTCTTGATTTGTTTAACTTACATACATGGAATTATTATGCTAACAAATTATATAATGGTGTTACATTACTAAACGGTACCCTGTCACAGAATTGCTCACTTATGAAAAACCAGTTTATAACTTGACAGATGGATAGAGATTCTATTGGTTATAGTGAAGATTGGTTTATGCTCATGTATTAATGTTTTTTTAAGCTTAAACAACAGAGATGCACATGCATCCCTGCTCTCTCTCTGTGCATATAAGGATACCAGTCATATTGGATCATGTATTAGCTTTTTAAGTAACATAAAGTGAATAGTTATAGGATCATGAGTTGGGAATGGAGTAGGTATTACTGAAGAATACATTTCACTCATGGAAAAGCAGATACTTAAAAATCACAAAACACTGATTTAACCTTTATAGTTTATGACAGATCTACAGAAGCTGTCCTATGAAGTAATAGTCTAAAAGCTCTCACTTTAAATGTTTTTTTCTCTGTCATAACAATTTTATTACTTAATGTGTATACTTTTCATATATTATGATTTTGAGACTAAAGGGTTTTAGGTTTATTGTATGTAGCAATACAGCAGCAAATATTGAGGATAATAGTGAACTTTGAAAGTTGAGCTAAAATTTACATGAAAGATAAAATGATAGAAGACATTTAAGAAGAGTGCACATCTTAGGGTAAATATATTTAAACAAAAGTAGAGAGTAGATTAATAAGTACAGAGAATTTTCTAATTCACATTTCAGATAAGAACAGTTGTTTTTTTACTTGGAACCATAAAGAAAATGTTAAGGAACAGCTAGTTGTTCAGGATCCACCATGAAGCTGAAAAGAGAAAAAGAGTTTTTTTAAATAATGAAAATAACTGCTAGGGCTAAGTTAGTTCAATGTGCAAGTCATTCTTAAAGAGACTATTTTCCCTCATCTTTAGTCTGTATAATTACTTATCTTTCAAGTTACTATTTCCTAACTTGATTGAAATTTCCTGTGCACTTGTTAGTTGTACCATATCTTTTGGCACTTGGTTGCAGTCTAACTAAAAAGTTTTTGTTATATATGAATAGAGATTGTTTTGGCAATGAGATTATAAACGCCCTGAAGATAAAATCATGTTGTTGTTGTTTTAATCTACCCAGTTCAAAAAGTTTGGGTATAAGTAAGTGGCTGTGTTTTAAATAATATTTTTTTAGTATATCTGTATTGTAAAATTAGAAATATTTTCCCCAGTAAATGTAAGTATCCCAAAGACAAACCTATGTCAAAGAAGTAAGATTGGTGGAATGAAGTGAGAAACAGACAAATGTAAAGGATTAAAATTTGTTTTCAAAGCTGTTTAAATAATACACTGACTGGCAATAGGATCATACTTTCTTATGTATCCTTTTTTCCCATAACCATAAGGCTTTCTCCTTTGCCAAGGGATATTCTGCTCCACAGACAAATTCTCATACTCTTTTTGTCTGGGTGCTTTATGATAGCTTATCAGCATAGGCTCCATATTCCAGTATGCCTCATTTAAGTGATTTTTATATTTGAGAGTTCATAGGAATATTTTTTGGTTTATAGTTTTGTATCTGGTGCAGACTGGTTTAGTTGCTTTATTTATTTAAATAAATTTGTTTTATTTATTTTTATTTTTGGCTGTGTTGGGTCTTTGTTGCTGCTCGCGGGCTTTCTCTAGTTGCGGCAAGCGGGGTCTACTCTTCGTTGCGGTGCTCGGGCTTCCCACTGAGGTGACTTCTCTAATTGCGGATGGAGCATGGGCACTAGGCGTATGGGCTTCTGTAGGTGTGGCACGCGGCTCAGTAGTTGTGGCTCACAGGCTCTAGAGCGCAGGCTCAGTAGTTGTGGCTCACAGGCTCTAGAGCGCAGGCTCAGTAGTTGTGGCGCACGGGCTTAGCTGCTCTGTGGCATGTGAGCTCTTCCAAGACCAGGGCTTGAACCCATGTGCCCTGCATTGGCAGGCAGATTATTAACCACTGCACTACCAGGGAAGTCCCTGCTTTATTTCTTAAGATGTATCTTAAGTAAACCACTTAGAAATCTTAATTAAAAAGCAGTCTTGGGCTTCCCTGGTGGTGCAGTAGTTGAGAGTCCGCCTGCCGATGCAGGGGACACGGGTTCGTGCCCCGGTCCGGGAAGATCCCACATGCCGCGGAACAGCTGGGCCTGTGAGCCATGGCTGCTGAGCCTGCGCTCCGCAATGGGAGGGGCTACAGCAGTGAGAGGCCCGCGTACCGCAAAAAAAAAAAAAAAACAGTCTCATTAGAAATTGTTATTTGTGAATTAGTAATACAAACCCACAGAATGCTGTGTCTCTAACTGTAATAACTTTCAGATTTTTATTTTAGGTCAAAATATATGCAGCATTTCAAAACTACATAAACAAAATGCACAAAACTAGTTATTACAAATATAAGTCATATGGACATTAAAATCATAGATAATATTTATAAGCTAATTTCAGCTTTTTGTCCAGGGAGATATATCTGCTATTTGTCCCCAAGGG